AATAAAGAGAAAATGTTGAACACTTTACTAAAGTTAATCAGATCAATATTTTGGCAAGTCCACAATGTGCAATGGAACGTAATGCAGAGATTTGCAAGCCAACACTTGGCCAGGCTCATATATCTGTACAGCAGCACTGTACAGAGAAGTCCTGTCACCTTGCTGCCATGTCAGTGCCTGAGCCAAAAATGCCGACTCTCTCAGCCAGGCTTTGTAGCCTCCAAATAGCCTTACACTGCTGTGCTTGGTTCTGGAACTGGCATAGTTGGCACAGTGCACCTTCTTGTTGGAAACGCATACTCTCATCCTGCCTAAAGGGCGGTGCGGAGATGTCACAAGTGTTTGACTTTCTTAGATGTATGGTGTGAGATAATTGAATTAATGAAGGAGAAATTATCAAGAAAGATAATCTACTAAAGGTTGGAGGCTAATTGTTAAAAAACCCTTCCTCTCAGCACGAAAACGACACACAACTCTATGTCCACAAGGCTTTTCTTTTTCCTACACCCTAAATGTCATCTACTGAAATGGTAGTGTGCCAGCAAGAAAAGATAACTATGGAGGGAAATTTAAATCTTACCTTTGATTAATTCTTTTCCTGTACGCACTACCTTTCTTAATGTAATGGGTCTGCATTTATCCACTTTTTAAAGTAGAATTATGGTTGTAATACAATTGCAGAAATTAGTACTATTTAGTGTAATAGCAAGGTACTTTTTGGAAAATTTGAACAACCCAATGAAGCAATGAAAGGAATAAATACATATATATATTAGGTGCAACCAATATATGTTGTTCTCATGTTTTTCAATTTTACACAAAAAATAATTACCACTTTCCTTGCGTTAGCATGGAGTTCAAGGCAGAAGCAAGGTTAATCACAGGGTGCTGTAAGGTTTGTAATTTGGCATCTTAAAACACTTCAGGGCTGGGCAAAATAAGCAGGATTTTCTTTGGTTTTGTAAATCTAGGTGAGCAAACCCAGGCCAGTAAAAAGTCTGTCAGAAAATGGAGGCCAGCATTTTGAGATGTGTCTTATTTGGTAGGACAATGTTAGATGCTTACTTTTCTATGATGCCTGTTGTGCCATCTTGTGTCACAGGCTACTTGTGCTAAGGCTCTGTCAAGATGGCCTTTGTAGCTAAAGAGCAAATGAGCTAATAAAGAGGTCAGTGATACTAGTGTTTCATTTTAAGAAGTTTCTCCTGTATTTTACAGGAGAATTTAAGATGGTGGTTTACTTTAATAGCAGTGGAATTGGACCATTGACTTCTAATTCTGGGGACTGTATCTCCAGAATGCAATAAAACTGACTAATGAATATTCTTACATAATGTATATGCACATATTAAAGCCTTACGTTGCAAAACAGACCATCTACCATTTTTTAAGAGAATTTCCAGAAGGAATTTGATTGCTTTTTATTATTAT